TAATTTCATTTGAAAAAAAAAGATCAGTTTCATTAGCATTGTAAATATCTTCTTTATCATATGATAATAAAAATTCATAAAAAATATAATCTTTTTCTTCTAGAAGAGTTGTAAGTGAAGCATTATTTGCTTCATCAGAAAAATTAACCTTTTGAAATTCATTTCTTTATTTAAATCTTTATACTTATTTATTAGTAAATTTTAATTGATTCTTTTCAAAATATTTAATATTTGTATAAATTCTTTTCCTTTTTATTATAAAATTAAATTAGTTAAAGAAAGTCTAGCTGCAACTACTTGAGATATTCAAATTTGTAATATTTTATTAAATTCAAAAAATTGGATAAAACAATAACAAAATTTATATAAATTATATAAATTTGTAAAAACAACTAGTTATTTTTCGCATTCTTGCTATAATTTTGTAATAGTAGTTTTATTAATATTTTTACTATTATATTTTTCATTAAAATATAATACAACAGTATCTTATTTTATGTTAGAATTAGCTAACATGTATTCACATACTTTTTTTTAAATTAATACCAATAAAAGTATAAGTTTTTTTTGATTTATTAAAACCAATTGAAAGCATTATAAAAAAGTATATATTTTTTATTATAATATTTGGCTTTTTAAAAAGTAAAAAGGTTAAAAGAAAAATTGAAAGAATCTTTTTATTAAAAATGATTGATTATAAGATTATCAATCTAAGATAATCTAAAATATATTAAAATACATATATTATTTCTCTATTAACTGAAAATAAAATATATATAATATTTTTAATTATATTATTTATAGCTAATCATGTGATTAGAGATCTGAATGAGTCAGCTGAGCGAGTTTTTGTTAAATTCAACTCAACCCAAAAAAATCAAATTGAGTCAAGCTAAGTCAAAAAAATTTTTAAACTTCAACTCAACTCAACTTGAGTTATATTTAGTAAATAAAGATACATTAGACATTTTATTCCAATTAAATAATAAAAGATCATTCTAAAGAAATGATAAATAAAATTGTTTTAATAGAATGATAATGCATTATTCTAAGGAAATGATAGAAAAAATTGTTTTGATAAAATAATAATGCATTATTTTAAAGAAATAATAGAAAGAATCATTCTGATAGAATGATAAAACATTGTTCTAAAAGAACTATAAATAAAATCGTTCTAATAGAATAATAGAAGAATTATTTTGATAGAATAATAAAAAGAATCATTTCTTTAAAATAATAATGCATTATTTTATCAGAATGATAGAAAGAATTGTTCTGATCGAATGATGAATAAATAATTTTTTTTTTGAAATAATAATAAAATTATTCCTTAAGAGTAATAATAAAATTATTCCTTAAGAATAATAATAAAATTATTTCTTAAAAATGATAATAAAATTATTCCTTAAGTACAATAATAAAATCATTCATTAAGAACAATAATAAAATAATTCCTTAAGAATGATAATTTATCATTTTTTCAAAATAATAATTAAATCATTTCTTTAGAATGATTCTTTTTATTATTCTATTAAAACGATATATTATCATTTTATCAAAATAATTCTTTTATTATTCCTTTAGAATGATGATTTATTATTTTATCAGAATGATTCATTCTATCGTTACTTTAAAACAATACATTATTATTATATTAAAATGATTCTTTTTATCATTCTTTTAGTATAATGTATTATCATTTTATCAGAATGATTCTTTCTATTATTCCTTTAAAATGATACATTATTGTTCTATCAGAATGATTCTTTTTATTGTTTTTTTAAAATGATACATTATCATTTTATCAGAATGATTTTTTCTATCATTCCTGTAAAATGATATATTATCATTATATCAGAATGATTCTTTCTATCATTCCTTTAAAATAATGTATTATTATTCTATCAGAATGATTTTTCTATCATTTTTTAAAAATAATATACTATAGTTCTATCAGAATGATTTTTTTATTATCCTATAAAATGAAGATTTATCATTCTATAAGAACAAAACTTTTATTTTTCTTTTAGAACTATGTATATCATTCTATTTGAACAATTTTTTATACTTTCTTCAAAAAATTTGTTAAATTTTTACTCAAATTCAGCTTGATTTTAGACTCGAGTTTTGCTTAACTTTTATAGTTCAAGTTTAACTCGAATTATTTTGAATTGAATCAAGCTTAATTTGAAACTCAATTCAAATTAAATGAGTCAAATTTTTTGACTTGACTTGATTCAATTTATTTGACTTGAAAGTTAGCTTGGCTTATTTAGAACTCTATATGTGATAATGTAATTATATAAAGAAAATTTTATTATATTAACTAATAATTCAGTCTAATAATTGATGTAATAGTAATATGTGATTATATTTAAAAAATTTTTTTTGATCTATTTTTTTTTAAAACATCTTTAATTTATTTAACATACTTTCTTTTCATAATCTAATAAAGTTATTTATATAATTACTTTATAATTTATTATAATTAAAAATTAAATTTTAAATTATAAAATTTTTTGCAATTATATTATATAACAATTTAATTTTAATTTTTTTTCTCAGTTTGGTAACATTAAAGAGCTATTTAAGTATTTTGATCAAAGGAAATTGATTTTGGTCGCATATGTAAGTTATTCAACAGGTTTCAAAATATGTGAATATAAATTTTTATTATCATTAAATTAATAATTATAAAGTTATATATATTTTCATAATTTATTATCTCACAATTTTTTTTATTTTTTATCTGTATAGTAATTTCAAAGAGTAATTTATGCATTTTAGTCAAAAGAAATTGAATTTAGTGATATATGAATAGTTATTTAGCAAATTTAAAAATAAGTGCATATAAATTTTTACCATAATTGGATAAAGTTATGCATGTTTTTTATAATTGTATTATCTTATAAATTTTTTTTATTTTTATTTTTTATCTATACAGTGATTTTAAAAAGTAATTTAAGTATTTTGGTTAAAAAAAATCAACTTTAATTACATAAGTAATATTGTTCAGTAGATTCAAAAATGTGTGTATATAAAATTTTATTATAATTGGATTAATAGTTGTAAAATTATAAATATTTTTCATAATTATATTAGTAATCATCTGATTTGCAGATTTATCATAACTTGTAATTTTAGTAATCTTTTTTTTTTTTGAAAAATAATAAAATATAAAAATATATCAATATTTTTTTTTATATTTTTTAAAAAATATTAAACAAAATTAATAATTGTTTAGTTTCTTATTAATTATATTACTTTTATATTTGAATATAAATATTATTAAACTAATAAACTAAAAAATTTCTTTTTTAGACAAGTCAAGTCAAATCAGATCAGGTCAAATCAATCAATTATCTGATTTAATCCAACCTATTCAAAACTTTAATTCAAATCAGAATCATAAAAAATAAAAAAAAGTGATAAAAAATATTTTAAAAGAAAATTAGCTAAAATTTATAAAACTCATTTTTAAAAGAACTCTTAATATAACAAACCCTAAGGTCTGAATTTCAACTTTGTTAATAAGTTTATAATGAATTTTTTAAAGAATTTAATTAACTGATTCATTATAGTAAAATATATTTAATATATTTGATTTAAAAATTTATTATATCAAGGGTTTGTTATATCAAGGTTTAACTGTAATACAAAATCATTAATTAGTATTTACCTTATGTTCAAAATTCTAAGGTTTATAGGTCTATAAAAGTAAATTAAACTTTTTTTAAAAATAGCAGTCTTATCAAAAGTTCCATCATAAATTCAAAGCTAACATTGAATATAATGCAATTATCTAATTGGTGTATTACATCTGAATCTGTAACTGCAGATTGAGCTATTCTTGGAAGTTCAGTTAGTAGTCTTGATTTACCAGTTTCTGCATCACAAAGGGCAAGAAACAAAGGACTATTAGTTTTGTCTCTATGATCTGTCTTATAATAATTATAGAATTGGATAATGTTCTGACGTAGCTTATGGATCATTTGGGATGCAGGCTGATAAGTCCAGTTTTGATCCAAATGATTTTAATAACCTGAATGGAGGCTGATATTCAAGAATGTGAGGTACTGTGTCTTTTATTAAATTTCAGAATGACATCATAGGTCCAAAGGGTGAAATTTTTTCATAGAAATGTTTAATATTAAGAAATATATGAAATGAAGTGTTAAGTTGTAAATGGTATACCAAGTAAACAAATAAAATAACGAAACGGAATGAATGGAAAATAATTTTTTTGCATATTTTTTTTATGCAATTTGTTAATTACCTCTTTCTTTATTAAAATATCCGTCATCCTCCCCTTCTTCGAATTCCTTCAAAGCCAATTCTGCCTTTTCGTAGTTTCCTTTTGCAAATGCAACCGTGCTTCGTTTTTTTTTCATTTTGTAAAATTTAAAAATTAATTTTAGATGTTAAATGATCTCAGGGAGCACATGATTATATGGGCGCAGTAAATTAGATCTATCGTTCGGATACACCAAAAATTTTTAACCCGAGCAAAATGGTCCATTCGGAGATTCTTGGATGTATGTGAATTAGAGCGACTCTTAACAGTTTTTTCAAAAAATAATATATTTATAAAAAAAAATAGTTAAATTTTTTAACATAGAACGCCTTCAAGATTAAATCTATTACAAATTCTATTATTAGCCTAATGGACGCAAATTATAACTAACAGAAATAATGAATTAACTTAAATTATTTATTTGGATGTATACTTACGATAGAATCATATTTATTTAATAAAATAAATGATCGGTCTTTAAACCTCCTATTTTTTACTGTATAAATAATTTTAATATGAGACCGATCTTACAAGATATACGCAGTTCATTAAGTTAAATTTTGTAATTCGTAATACTATTACTTTAACTAAGGATCAATTAGTTCTAAAAATTAAATAAATTAAAAATATCGAAAATCTAAAATGAATTAAAAAATATATATGAATCTAATTTAATACTAATTAGAACAAATTAAGAAAATTCTCATTAAATTGAACTGTTAGAAGTGTTTGATGATGTTGATTTTTCTCTCCCACATCTTTCTCTGCTTTCATCAGCTAATTTCCAAGCCGGATCATAACCACTTGGTTGTGAAGGATTTCTAAGATCGGGATTGGGATATGTATTATCAATACTGCCGAGGGATGTATATCTTAATATGTAAAAATAAAGTAAGTAAATTCTTCTTAATTTTTTTTAAAGGAAAAATATTCAAAAAAAGAAATAAATTACCCTAAATCATATAGTACACAATATTGTATATTTAATATTCTCAAGAATTCCCATATTTGTGTATAATGCCAATCTATAATTGGATGAATTCTCATAAATGGTGGCCATCCTGGATCAGTCGGAACAAATTCTATCAAATTCTCTATTAAAATAAACTCAATAAATAAATTTATTGTTATTAATTAAAAAAAAAAAAAGTATTATTTTAATAAGATTAATCACCTCCATGAGGGTCAATTCTTCTTGTGCCAACCAAGATAGCTTGAACATTTGGTCTTTGTTCCAAATATTTTGACAACGCAGATTTCATTGGACCTTCTATTGTAATAAGATCCAAACCATATCGATTTACACATTCTTTAACAAATTCTTCAACTTCGAGAAATGGATTTGGATGAGTAATATATACAGCTTGGATATTAGGTATATCATCGGAATTTTGGAAATGTTTATAATAAACAGCTGCAAATAAATGTAATAATACGACGCAATCTTTCCCGCCGTTGAAAGAAAGACTAACACCATTAGACCTTTTTATTATATAAAAAAAAATGTTATTACCGGTTAATATATATATATTTTATAAAAGTGAAAAGTTGAATAATAACTTAGAAAGAATCTTCATCCAGAACCTATTGTTACAACATCATACCCATATCGCCTCAAGGATTCTTCGATAATGTTTAATGCATGAGTTATCGCTTTCGAAATAGATTGTTCTGAACTCGCTAATTCGTAAACTTCTTTGTAGATTTTAGAAAAATCAGGTTTCTTTTTTGAAACACCATTATATTTTACTAAACATTCTTCTTGTGTCTGACGATAAATGCCGTTCTTTAGGCCAACGCTATTTTGTGATACTTGTTTGGATTCATTAGTACCGTTAGACTCAGATTTGAGGTCTGTAGATACTATAGAATCCATATATATTGTAAGCATGAGTATTTATTTAATATCTTTTATTTCTTACAAATTGAATATTTCTTATGAAATGAAAACTAAAGGATAATAAAGTTATCTTACTCGAAAAATAAATAAATCAGATACAAAAAAATAATTATTACTATCTTTAGGCAAAGAAAGAAAAATAAAATGAATAAAATGATAAAATCCGGAAAAAAAATAGCCGAAAAAAAAGTATCTTGTATTACATTTTATCGATTTTTCTCGAAATTGTTGGGAAATTATAATCCAAATTTAGTATCTAATTGATTATTTTTAATGCTAGATCTGACCATTCTGACATTTTCCTGTTTTGTTCATACGTGTAACTATGACAAGATTTTTTATAAATATGCGAGGGATCTTTTTTGGGAACGAGGCATAATGTCTGCCAAAAAACGAAACTATCGCAGGAAACCAAAATCTTTGATTGACGAGGAAGTCGTTGAAGATCAAAATACTTCCCCAAGTGTTGGAAAAGATAAAGAACCTGAGGACGTCAGGTATTTTATTCATTTAGCTACTTTTTTTATTTGTCTTCATTGTGTTAATTAATCTCTTGAACATCTTGGATTAGTGAAACAATTGAAGAACTTATTGAGTTACGCAAATTTCGAAAAAGACCACAAGGCATAGATGCAGACAAACTATCTAAGGGAGAAGCAAAGGCAAAGAAAAAGAAAAAGGATGATGATCCGTGGAAATTAACAGTTGGTGGCCTTGTCGATCCGGATGAAGTTAGAGAAGCTGAAGAGTAAATATAAAGCAAATCTAATTTCTAATTTTATTTTTTATCCTTATTACTTAATTCTTTTTACCCTTTTATAGAGATGAGGATGATGATGACGAAGAAGTGCAAAAGAAGAAAATCATGCTTGACTCGTTTACAAAACAAACAAATGCATTAGATGTAGATAAGCATATGTTTGTGTTGGTTCTAAATTTTCAATTAATTGAATTTATTTAAAGTGATATACAATTATTTATTTAATTATATGCCTTATAGGATGGCTTATATTGAAGAAGAAATGCGTAAGAGAAGAGGTCAAAGATCAGATTCAAAAAATGATGACGAGGTTCTAGAGACATCAAAACCTTTAAACCCTCAAGATGAGCTTTTTCAAGCTCCAGATCACTTGCGAGTACGTATGAATGCCTTTTAAGCTATATAAAAGCATTGACATTTATTACGTAATATCAATTTTAATGTAGGTGTCTAATCTCAGGTAAGATAGCAAAGCCATATTATCTCATACTACCTAAAATATTACGTAATATATGTCAGTGTTTTGATTATATTCTGGTTTACAATATTTTTATTATTTCAGATTGAAAGCAAACCGATATCAGAGGGCAATGTACAATTATCAACAACTATGCTAACCGCTATACCTGAGGTCGACCTTGGGATAGAGTAAGATATAATATTTATTATTTACATAACTTGAATTCAAATCCTGTTAAAGCCGAATTTGTCGTTTAGTGTTAGGTTAAAAAATATTGAAGAAACGGAAAAGGCAAAGCGCAAAATGCTAGAACAACGACACCACAAACCAAAGGATGAAAAGGATACGGTAAGTTACAAAAATTTAAAATAATTTTAATACTTGTAATTTGTAATTTTACTTACATTCTTTTCATTCAAAGTTCGAAGGATCTAATTTTTCCGCGACAAATAGATGTAAGTAATCGATAATTTCCGTTTCGTTATGTATTGTTTAAACACACTGATAGTGATGGTTACATCGGCAATTGTCAAAGCTAATCAGAATTTTGTAGCCACAAAATTCATGATAATTTTTTTCAATGGCGATGAGATTCTTGATCCAAAAAATTTCACTTTCTTTATATCTGTTAAATAATTTAATCTTAACGTTTTAGTTTACCGAACTCGCCCAACTGTGAGTGATCATGAAAGAACAAATAATAATAATAATATGAATAATAATAATAATAATAATAATAACAGCAACAACAGCAGCAACAACAACATCAACAACAACAATAATAATAATGATCAACAAAATCAAACTTCGGCAAATAAGAATGGACAAAGAAGAGAAATGGCTACTGATGATCTTGTTGCAGAAAGATTCAAAAAAAGACTACGGCGTTGATAATATAGAATTTCTAAGTGATAATACAATTTTGCTCATTTGTTTTATATATTAACTAAAAAAAATAGATTTGAATAATGATAATATAGATAATATGTATTGTAAATGTACATCTGTGATATAATTGATTTAAATAAATTAAAATTGAAGATTTTGATGGACATTTTACCTCTAAATTACTTAAAAAGATATGATCCTGAATTTTTCCTTTTGAAAACAACAGGTGATGAGAGCCTCATTTCTGGCTAAAGATTTGATCAAAACCAAATTGTATCTGCAAACCATAAGCAAGGGTTATAGCAATCAAAACACAAAGTACATCAGCTCGGAACATTTTCTTCTTCAAAATCTGTTTTTCTATCTCGACTACAGGTGCAAAAAAATTTCACCCACGTGATTTTTTGCGGCCGAATTATGAGCACTCTTATCCTAGACCCCGGGTTTAGGATAATATCCTAGACCCCCCTTCCCTTAAATATGATTGGTTCGCATCAGCCACATTATATTTTC